CGTAGGGATGTTTGCGCAACATACGCCCAGTCAAGATCTCTCGGTCTTGGCCAGCGCCAGTGCTGGTAGCTGTGCTGAGTGTGGTGTGGTGCTCACTCACCATCTCTTGCTGTTGGTTCTGTGCCGGACGGCATGAAGTTGGCACATGTCACGCCGGTATTCAAGGCTGGAAATCCTCAAGATCCGGGAAATTAAGTGCTCATTAATGATTTGTTTGAGCTTGGCATATCTGGTTCAGCATTAGTTTGGTTTGCCGACTATTTGTCCAATCGTCGCCAAATAGTGCACATTGCTGAGAACTAAAGCCCTCCTTTCCCCTGCATGTGTGGCGTTCCCCAGGGCTCTGTTCTTGGTCCGCTGCTTTTTGTACTCTATGTTCGTTTGATCCAGTCCATTGTCTCCGAGTTTTGTGTGAAAGTTATTCAATTTGCTGACGATATTCTATTGTATGTTTGCGGTACGCAGAAGAATGGGCTTAGCAACTCCCTGTCTGCAGCTGTCTCAGCCATTAGTACCTGGCTGTCAAACCGCAATTTAATTCTAAATGCCCGGAAGACACAAGTGCTCTTCCTGTCTACGCCACATATTACTGACCACCAATTTGCAGTCTACTGTCATGGAGTGCAGCTCAAGCAAGTGACATGTGCAAAGTACCTTGGAATTTTGGACCAGGATCTTTCTTGGAGGACTCAAGTTGATTCTATGGTCACCAACTTGACTTGCCAATAAAATTGGTATTCTGTTCCGAAATCGACACAATATTCCACTGACTTGCCGAGAAACCTTTGTAAAGTGCCTAGTGTTGCCAGATTTTCTATATGCATCAAATTGTTTTTCTGCTGGCCTTTCCTTAACCAAGTTAGGTAGGCTTGAACGAATGCTAAAGCGAGCTTTGCGTTCAGTGTACGATACTGGTTTTTGTAGCCCATCAAGCCCTTTATTTGCGAGACTTGGTCTAGATCGTTTGGCATCCATGTATTGCAAGAAATTACTGTATCTGACGTGGCGCTGTTTGGAAGGCCGTGGTAGTGTCACATTAAGGGGGCAGCCTACCCATAAATTTCATATGGCATTCAATTGACCGTAACTTTGGTGTTTCTCAGTGGATTTGAGTGAAATTTTGACCACACACTCCTGCCACTATGCTGGCCCTCAGGACATGATTTACAAGTTCTTGCGCCTCACTGACAGGCTTTCCAGGCCGGAAAAACTCAAATTTCCGGCATAGTGCCACGGTGTGCGAGCCACCCAGGAGCCAAACAAATGCATTTACATTTTTTCACATTTTCGTGCCCATTCTGTCCGTGCGCGGGACCCAAACCTAAAACAAGTCCAGAAGCAGCCATGGGTGGTGGGGTAGGGCCCCTCAACGTGGCCCTGGAATCTGTCACAACGGAACGAGTGGGCGTTCTCTCGCGGACTCCCACAGACCCAAGTCAATTTTTGAATTTTTTAGGTTTAGGGTGTGCTACGAGGTCGTACCTTTGATACAACATCCAGTGCTGGGACCTCCACAGCAAGCCATTTCCACAGCGCTGCACACCAAATCCAGGATGCCCCCAGAAACCGGCAAAGACTGCCACTCACGTTTCACTCCTGCCTAGTACTGAATCCTACCTGACTTCTTGACACGACTCAAACTTGCCAAAGTCACTAAATCCACGTCAACTACAATAATCAAGCCACATATCTGCAACGTCACGAGGGTGCTGGCAAAAGTCCTGCTGCACGGCGGCGGGCTTCGCCCGCCGCCGTGCAGCCCAATACGTGGTTTTTTAACGTGATTTTTTGGACTTTTTTGGACTTGGGGCAAAATTCTGCACACTTTCGCGTGTTTCCATAATACGACAAGTTGCGCACGGTCTGCTCACATTCAAATACAGTGCTGCCAACAAATGACAGCATGCAACAAAAAAATCTTTCCTTGCAAGGGCACATTTTCGGCCATAACTCTTGAACGGCTGGTCAGATAGGGACACAATTTTCAGAGAATTTGCAGCTATTCATGCTCTTTCAACTGACGTAGCACTCAATATGAATTTACAAATTCGATTTTTCAGCGAATTTTTGGGTAGTCTGCCACCTTAAGCCAAATGTTCGAGCGTTTAAAGAATGGTCTTGCAACGCGCAGCCTTGTATCACGCACTCTTAAGTTGCCCATGCTCAGAACTGCCTTTGCCCGTCAGGGCGCTTCCTTCCAATGTGCTAAGCTGTGGAATGATTTGCACCCTCTAGCTCGCTGTGTGGATAACTCCGCCCGTTTTAAGAAACTGTTACCCCAATGCCTTGCTTTTTCACGCTAGTACTTATGACTTTCAGCTATGCAAAATGCGAACATGATCACCTATCCAATCCCGGTAGTCTATTATATTAATTATTCATATCTTTTTGCATCTTTCCCTCGAGTGGGTCTATTGTTATTAGGCAATTGTCTGTTATAGTCACCACTATAAATAAAAATCCAATCCAATCCAATCCATGCATATACCCATTGCCTTAGCCCTGACTTTCAGCATGGACAGCAGGCGTAGATGCTGGCTACTGTCAGACACCATGACACTGATGTCAGAGCATCTCCCACGCCAACCATGATCGAGAGACGGAACCCTGACTGTCTGTGCGCAACAGAATAGCACTCGCAGTTTGAAAAGCAACTCAAAAAGAAAAGTCACCCCTTGGAAGTTTGGCTGATTTGAACCAGGTGGGCGCAAAGTTCAAGACGCGATTTGAGCGTCGAACACGAATACGGCCTACCGGTATCTTTCCTGCATAGGTGTGGAGACGCTCGATACAATCCTACTGAAACACCTGTGCGTTGTAGCATATACCGTAGATCTACCGACTATCACGTGGTGGGACCTGCTTGTGACTTGTGGCAAGCAGGGAGTCGTATATACGACTCCCTGGTGGCAAGTAGTTGTAGTTGTGCTAATAGTAGTGGGTCTAGGGCTTCCTTGACGTGGCAACGTCTGCAACCGTAAAAATACTTCCACAAGACCATGAAGACCGCATGCAGTGAGTCAGCGACATGATTGCGAGTGCAAAGGTGCTGCAGGGTAGATCTGCAGCCAGTACAGGAACAGGGTGCTGCGCTGGTGCAGGCCAAGCCCAAGGCATGTAGACCCTGCTCGCTGCCATTCCATTCAAATTATTGAGTCGTGCATCATGGGAGGATTTCTGGAAGCAGGACGCCGTCCAGCAACAGTTACATGATGGCTTTCTGCTGTTCCCTGCCTTCCGGTCCTGTTTGATCTGAACTGAACAGAGAAGTGAATAGAGAAGTGAATAGAGAATTGAACAGATAACTGAACAGAGAAGTGAACAGCGAACAGAACAGAGAAGTGAGATGTTGATGCAACATCCTCTGGCCTTGGTGTATCCACATGATGATGTGGAATGCACTTTACCACAACACCCCCATGAATGATGAAAAGGTAAGAGGTAGTGGGACTTGGGAGAGCTGGGGAACTAGAAACATCTGTTACCATATGAACACGAGGGAGTCAATGTTGGGGTTTGCCAAGCATTGCCTAAGGCTAAGCTATCACAGGCAAACTGCAGGTCATCACCTCATTCCCGGTCCTATCTCTGTGACAGTGTGGCTCCAGCTATTTTGGGAGCAGACACTGTGGTCAGTGGGGCTGTAAAGACCATGACTTGAGTGAGAAGCGGAGGAGCAGAGGGTACGTTCAAGTCCTGCTCGGAAGAGAGGGACTGTTGCGGCCCTGTGGCCATGGTAGACAAGATTTCCTTCGAACCATTACTTGTTCTTGTTCTTTACAAAGAGGAATGAAACTGAAACTCAACTGAGAGTTCTGAAAAGCAAAGAGCGACACGCGTACATGTAGCCTCAAGCAGAAAAGCTGGCAGCGCAAAAGGAAACATGCAGCCAAAAAGATGCCTAGCTCTGGCGTACACATCGTAGAGGTCACTGCGCATCCGGTGCACTGCGCCCCAAAGGTGCATCGCGTCAATCCGCCATGCAGATAGAGCGATAGCGTACAAAGTACAAACAAAACAAAAATAACTGAGAGAAGCGAAAATAAATAAATCAAAGAGAAGAAGCGAGAGAGAAGAGAGAAGGAATTTAATTCTAATTATTTAGAGCTGGACAGGTATTATCAAGGAGACATGCAGACACACAATAGAATCGACTCGACTGCATGTAGAGTAGCTGCCTCTAACTGCAGCAGAGTGGAGCACGCACGTACGTGATCAACTCGGGAATAGTGAAAGGTGAGAGAAACAAAATACAAAATAAATTCGAACGAGCAAATACAATAATTGTGAATTCATGTGCAAGTGTCTGTAACAGGGACAGACACGGGGATTTCGGTCAGTTGAGTCTTGACCACTTCGTGGTGGGTCTGCTATTAAAATAAGAGCTGCATCTTCGCCTTGATACTTGAGGGTTGAAGCCGCAAGTTCCTGCCGATGCGGACAATTCAGCTTGACTGGGTCTCAGCTCATGTGAGCAGCAACAAATATTGGGAATTGGGAGCGGCCTGCTTGTCTACATGTACACTCCGATCATAACGCGACCGTTTTGTCATGTGCCCATGTCCCTGATGTCTGTTGTGTTGTCAAGAAGAACCCTATATTTCTCATCAACATCCGTGTATAAAGAAGCACATAAAAGGTGTATGCGTGCGTGCATAGTGAGGGCACGTGCGTACGGGATACGTGCACAGTGCACACTACTGTACTACTACAACATCTCCCCCCTCACGGGCCGGGTTAGGCCCAGAAGGGATAAGGAAGACAGAATGCCGTGTGAAAAGAAAACACGAGCAGGTTGCATGCAGCACAGCCAGAGGAAGGGTAGGTGGGAAGCCGAAAAAGAATGGAACTGAATAGGCACAACGAAGCATAGCGGACTGAAATCCAGCAAACAATGGAGTGTTACGAGCTGGAACTGGCAAAGTATGGACTCGAGGAGAGAGAGAAAACAGAGGGGATAGAAGAAAGAGAAAACCAAACCATAAGATAACTGTGATGGCCTAAACAGCAATCAAGTGTTGGCGTGTGCGGCGAACAATACCGGACGGTACCCGGATGTGATACGACCGCGGTTCGGAAGCAGTGCAGACGACTGATCCACGGACGCGATGACTAGGCGTAGAGATATCGATCACCTCGTCGCCTGGGTGAAGGGCTGGTTGAATAACTGAGCGGTGACGCAGGTTGTACTGCCGAACGGACTTCTCCTTCTGCGACGAATCAGCAGCAGAAAACGACTCTGGGGTCACGGTGGACGGTTGAAGGAGCTCGGCTGCGGTGGGAACGGCAGTAGCGAGACGCCGACCCATGAGGAGCTCCGCTGGACTGTGTTTAGTGAAGCCCAGTGAGGTACTGCGATAAGCCAGCAAGGCCATCTGAAAGTCAGCAGCTGTTGAGCATTTCTGCAGGAGAGACTTGACAGTGCGGACTGCTCGCTCGATTTCACCGTTTGATTGGGGATAGTGAGGGCTGCTGGTTTGGTGCTCGAAACCCAAGCGCTGAGAGAATGCGTGGAATTCCGCTGAAGAAAACCGTGGCCCATTGTCGGAACGGATAATGGCGGGAACTCCGTGACGAGCAAAGACAGAGGTGAGGTGCTCGATAACGCGGGCGGATGTCGTGGATGTCAGCCGTAGGACCTCGGGATACCGAGAGTAGTAGTCTACGACCACGATGAACTGGTGAGTGGCATACTGGAAAAGATCGATTCCGACGGTGTGCCATGGTCGGGGTGGTGTCGTTGATGAGATCATTGGCTCGACGTGTGGTCGACGGAACTCACGGCATGTGGGGCAAGCCTCGATCAGGGCCTTGATCCTATTGGAAATGCCCGGAAACCAGACCGTGGTCTGTGCCAGCTTCGTCGTACGCGACACACCCTGATGTCCTGTGTGAAGATTGTCGAGGGTGTCCTGCTCGAGGGAGCTGGGAATGAGAACTCTGGATTGCATCATGTTGAGCTCGTCGTTGATTACGAGATCGGCTCGGACCGGCCAGTAGCTGCGGAGAGGTGCAGGGAGATCCTGTATGCTCGAGGGCCAGCCATTACGGATGAGACGTGTTATGTCCTGGCATGTTGTGTCGGCCTTCTGTGCTTGCAGCACAGCGCGTGTGGGGCCGGTGACCGCTGAGACACTAGACACGGCGAAAGCGGCGAACAGGCTGCAGTCGGCTTCCAATGAGAGGTCGTCACATGAAGCTGCGCTGTCGGCTGGAGCTCTGGAGAACGCATCAGCGCTGGTCAGATGAGAGCCAGGCACATGGGTGATGGTGTAGCTGTAGCGAGCCAGACGAAGGCGAAAACGGAGCACTCGGGCAGGCAGCTCATGCAGTCGCTTGGTGCTCAGCAGAGGTACCAGGGGCTTGTGATCGGTCTCTATCAGGAAGGTGTGCATACCGAGCAGGTACATCTCGAAGCGACTCGTGGCCCAGGTGATTGCCAGTGCTTCCTTTTCGATTTGAGCGTAGTTGCGCTCCGCTGGAGTGAGAGAGCGGGAGGCACAGGCTACGGGCCGCCACGTTGTCTCGGGCGAGGACCGCTGGTAGAGCAGAGCGCCGAGGCCATATGACGATGCGTCTGCGGATAGCTTGGTACTGTAGTTGGGGTCGTACAGCTGCAGACAGGTGGGCTTGCAAAGCTCCTCCTTGGTGGCCTCAAAAGCCGTCTGTTGGGCGTGGTCCCAGGTCCAAGCTTTGCCTTTTGACAGGAGCTCTCTGAGCGGTTGGCTGATAGAGGCAAGATGCGGTGAAAATTTCCCCAGCTGATTAGCGAGACCCGGGAAACGACGCACGTCTGAGGCCGACTGCGGAGTTCTGAAGACCCGGATAGCTTCGGTCTTGCCGTCATCAGGTCTGATGCCGTCGGGAGTGAGGTGCACCCCGAGAAACGTGAGATCCGAGGCTGAGAATTGGCATTTAGCGGGGTTCAGCGTGAGACCCGCTAGGACGAGGCGCGTGAGAACGGCACGTAAGCGGTGATCGTGTTCCTCCTGAGTGCGACCGTGTACCAGGATGTCGTCCATTTGACAAACGACGCCCTCCAAACCCTGTAGGATGGCGGACATCCGCTGCTGAAATATTTCCGGTGCTGACGATATGCCGAATGGAAGCTTAGTATAACAAAATCGACCCTGAGGTGTGATGAAGGTAGTCAGAAGCTGGGACGCCTCGTCGAGTGGTATTTGCCAGAATCCACTGTTAGCGTCGAGCTTGGTGAAGACTGTGGAGTCGCCGATCTGACCGAGTGTCTCGTCGACTGTAGGGAGCTGGTGATGCGAACGACGTACGGCATCGTTGAGCGGTTTCAGGTCTCCGCATATGCGGACCGCACCTGTAGCCTTCGGTACGGCGACCATTGCGGCGCACCAGTCTGTTGGCTCGAGGACACGCCGGATGACGCCCAAGCTCTCCATGCGCTGCAGCTCAGCTTCTACCTGTGGGCGGATTGGCAGCGCCACGTTGCGGGCTGTGTAGAGGCAGAACGGTTTGACACCGTCGGTGAGAGGAATCGAGTAGGGCTCCTTGAGGCTGCCTAAGCCGGAAAACAGGGACGGAAAGTCGGCGAGCACGGCTTCTGGAATCCGGTCAGCTGCAGAGGGTGCTACTGGAACAGGTTCAGAGCCGGGAGGGATAACTGCCGCGCTCTGCATGGAGTTTGGCCTGTCTTTTGGCACGTCGGAAGACAGCTTTACGTCTGGAGGAACGCCGTCATTAGAGAAGAGGGGCTTGATAAGACCCAGAGAAAGTGAGTCGCTGCAGCTAAGCAATGCGTGACGGAGCCCTTGTACGACGCACACAGTGATAACGGTGCTGGCACCGGATGCCGGGTATGTCACAGACGCTGTGAACAGGCCAACGGTGTGGAGCGGTGTGTTGGCGGCGCTGATCAGCCGTTTGGTGCACGGCTTGAGCACTGGAGGATTCTGGAGCTGGTGGTACAGGGCGTCTGAGATAACGGAGACATCTGCACCCGTATCAATCTTGAAGTCGACGCAGGTGCCCTGTAGCAGCACTCCAACTCTCCACGACTGTTGGCTGGACTTGACGTCGCCCACGAACAGAGCTTCTGTGTTGAGAAGCGCTCCGTCATCTGTGTAAGTGTCGGACACCTCGGTTGCAGACACGGACTGCTGGTTACGGCGAGACCGGCACACTCGCTCGTAGTGGCCACGTTTTCCGCATTGACGGCACTCTTTGTCCTTGGCAGGGCAGGTGCTCCGCGCGTGAGGTGTGCCGCCACAAAATCCACACTCCTTGGTGCCTGCGCCGCGACTGGCAAACTGAGGTGGTCGATCCCCTGACCGTCGTCCCGCCACGTGTTGGCCAGCCGACACCTGTGACAGAGCCAGAAACTCTTTTTCTCCTGCCTGGGTACCCGTACGCGCTCGGACGAAAGAGTCGGCCAGCTTTGCTGTCTGGTGAGCGTCTAGCTTAGGCTGCTCCCTGACATGTCGCTGGGTGTCTGGGGGCAGAACGGCGACCAATTGCTCCCTGACCATCTCATCCGCGACCGTCTGCAGGGTGGGCTGAGAGCCACTCGATACGGAGTGCGACATCCACTTGTCGAACAAATCGAACAGACGGTGACATACCTCCGTGTAGTTGCCGCAGGAGGGGGACACAGCAGTGGAGCGAAACCTCTGACGGTACTCTTCTGCGTCAAGACGAAAACGAGCCAGAACAGCTGCTTTGATGTCGGTGAACGTCTGGGACGTAGTGGGCAAATTATTGTAGGCACTGAGGGCTTTGCCCTTCAAATACGGAATGACGGCCAAGCCATGGCGAGAGCGATCAACCTGGTGACCGTTCACGGTTGAGGAGACGTTCGGTGGCAATAAACCATTGTTCTGCATCGTCCTCGTCGTCCAAACTCCGCAATTTGGGAAAAGTTGCATTGGTGGTTGACACGGGGGCGGTTGGTGCCAGGGAGTAGTACTCCCTGGTTGGTGCAGACACCTGTGTGAGTTGTTGCAACAACGCCTGCGAGAGCTGGGCCTGCTGCTGTTGTTGTTGACTCTGCTGCAGTTGTTGCTGCGAGAGTAGAGCTATGAGCTTCGCGAGCTGCTCATCAGACGACGACGTAGCTCCGGCGCTTGCGGAGGTCGTATCCATCCCGGCGGGAGGCGAGCTCATGACTGGAACGGGCGAGGATTTTCCCTTCTTGCGGCTCTTTCCCGGCATGAAAAGGCTGCGTCCAAGCACCAATGGGGAAGTATAAACCGAAAGAAAAAAAAACCCGCCGCTGCCACCATGTTGTGTTGTCAAGAAGAACCCTTTATTTCTCATCAACATCCGTGTATAAAGAAGCACATAAAAGGTGTATCCGTGCGTGCATAGTGAGGGCACGTGCGTACGGGATACGTGCACAGTGCACACTACTGTACTACTACAACACAATGTCCATGGTAGACAGCGAGATCAACAGTGTTTCTAGTACATGTAATGTAGACCACTGACTACTACAATTGTCGCTAGTGGAGACCTTGAGCCGCGCTTCGCAAGATATGTGGTCGGAATCCCCGGGCCTACTGCTGGACAGAAAACAACAGGCTGACGCAGCTGGTCACACTGCAGGGAGATGTTTGTAAAAGAGGCTGTGAAATCGCACTATCCCTTTTTAATATTATAGAAATGATCTGAAGGGGGGGGGGGGGATAGGGCGTACCTGTGGCACCGAAAGGGCTGGTGTTCAAACAAACTATCACTGGTTTGCCATCCATGGCATAAAAACTAACCCTGGCGAGTGTATGAGGGTAGCCCATAGCACCTCCACATAGCGTTATAAATAGGTGCACACTGGACATTCCAAGAGGGCTTTTATTGTTTGTACAGCCATGGTCGCTGTACCCTTACATGTTGGTCAATTGGCAGCATGTTACAAGGCGAAGGGCACACTGTGTTGAGAATTTAGTTGTAGCCATGTCACAGTTACCAGGAGCACTGCTATGCTCTCAACACGCTGTGTCCTCCGCCTCGTAACATGCTGTCAATTGTCCAACATGTACATACATGGTATGATGTAACCAAACACTGGTTAAAAAACAGTATTAGGCCAAGTAAAAAAAAAAGCTAGATGATCGTCCCCGTCCGCCCCAGTTTTTGTCAGCGCCCCAAGAAATATTATTTTTATTTTTTAAATCGTGAGTTTTACTATATGGACCACATACTACTAGTATATCACAACGTCAGTATCGATCTGCTGAAGAAAGAAAAAGAAAAAAAGAAAAAAAAAGAAAAAAAGAGAAAAAAAACCTTGATGTTGTTGTGTACACTGTGTGCATGAGAGGGTAAAAAGTAAAAAAATAAAAATAAAATCCTCCCGCCCTCCCCGATTTTTCCAAAAAAAAGGACGATCATCTAGTAATTTTTTTACTCGGCCTTAGATAAACCTTGTTATAGTTCACGCAATTGTTAGATTGACAGCATGAAACAAGGTGGAGGACACTGTGTTCGGAAACAGTGACCTTACTACAACCTTCCGCGGTTGGCAGAGCCCCGGTCCCTGCGGACCATTTGAACCATATGCGTATCGCACCCGGTTCTGACCCTCATTATGCTAGGGGGTTAGGAGACTACTCCTGATGTCGTCTTGTTTTCTTCGCTCTTTTCTTCAACTTGTATAAAAACTTCTTTTTCTTTTTCTTCCAACTTCTGCCCATGGCGTCCTTCTCTCAGCTCGTCAGCTGTCAACAGTTTTTTTTTTCATCACCATGGCACTGTCGCGAGAAGGTGCTCTCTGTAGACGGGGTTGGTGATGTCCCGACGTGGCCATGGGTAGGCCTTCACCGCGTCGGAACACCCCGGCTACACGTTGGTCACGTCAACTACTTATGTTTGTAAATCACTTCGTTGTTGATCTGTTGTGTAGTTTTGTTTAAAAAAAAGTCTACAGAGAGCACCTTCTCGCGACAGTGTCATGGTGATGACAAAAAAACTGTTGACAGCTGACGAACTGAGAGAAGGACGCCATGGGCAGAAGTTGGAAGAAAAAGAAAAAGAAGTTTCTATACAAGTTAAAGAAAAGAGCGAAGAAAACAAGACGACATCAGGAGTAGTCTCCTAACCCCCTAGCATTATGAGGGTCAGAACCGGGTGCGATACCCATATTAGGGTTCAAATGGTCCGCAGGGACGGGGGCTCTGCCAATAGGGTCCAGCGGGTTCTGCCGGCAGAAAAATTGGCAGAATTCGGTACTTTTTCTGGTAAGTTTCATGCATGTTTGGTATGTGGATAAAGAAGTGGAGCAGAATGCGAGGAATTGCCCGCCATAAGGTTTGTATGGTTCTGCCAATTTTACTGCTTTTCGAGCAGAATCTGCCACCTTTTCGAGCAGAATCCGCCGGTCACTATCTGCCAACCGCGGAAGGTTGTAGTAAGGTCACTGTTTCCGAACACAGTGTCCTCCACCTTGTTTCATGCTGTCAATCTAACAATTGCATGTACATACATGTACAAGTCATGTGCGTTCTGGTTCATCATTCTCGGTCGAGTGGTATACAGCAGTTACGACATGGTACAGTGAGCAGGGAGTAGCAAAAATGATTTTAATCTTTACCTTTAAAAAGGTAAAGTTTCATCATTTTGGAGTGTGTTGCTCCCTACATGGGAGCTCGCGCTTTTCCTGCCGACTTGAATTCTCGCTTGACTGACTCACGACCGCCTTCCAGAGCACAAGAGAAGTCCATCGAACCTTCCACTCGGCAAACCTGCAAGAAAGTACCACCCCCTGCTCAATACCCAGTGTTTCGGGGAATTCACCCCTCATCAGTTGAGCTTGAGTAGGCTAAGGAAGATTGTGCCTAAGGGGCACCACTAGTATACGAGTATATGTACAGTGCTCTCCAGACCAAACCATCACCAGGGATACAAACTTACAGCGACGCTCCGTTTCCAGCGCGACAAGCACCTCGTGAACACCAGATACATGTAGCAGCGTGAGTCAGTGTCGCTCATGGAGGTGTTGAGGTTGCTGATTATTTTGGAGGAGGATAATTATACAGAGTATTGCCATAAATACTTTCTTTCTGAAAGACCGCCATGTTTGGGCAACTAATTACTTCAAATGGCCAAAACCCCTCCAAAGTGCTAAAATGGCCACCCTGATAATTACAAAGAGGTTCCCTGGCGCCAGCGCAGAAGTGAAGCAGTATTACACACGAAAGGCACAATAGAAGTTAACGAGTTTGTAGCAGCTCTTATCTGGCGACTTTTGATATTAGTCGCCTGATGATTGCGCTGAACAAGAAACTCGAAGTTGCAACAAACTCTTTTAATAAATCTTCATTGCGTGAGTTTTGAGCTCTTATTAAGAAAATGTTAAAATTTAACATGAAAGAAAATGTTAAAATTTAACATTTTCTTGACCATTTTTAAATGGTCTCTGCTGGGATGATAGCTACACCATAGTGTAGTGGTTAGAGCAAGCGAAGGTCCCTGGTTCGAGTCTTGGTGGTGACAGTCAATGTTTTCTTCAGACTCTTCCCGTTTGCATCCATCCCCCTCCCCCCCCCCCCAACCAATGAATGTCATTGCATAGTGGCTATACATGTACTACGGAGAGGGATACACTTCAGGCTCTTTAACAACATCTTCAAAGTTTCCGCTAGTACTTTCAAGCAAGTGCTTTCGAGCCTTATCGTCTACTGTTCATAATCAGGCTATTGTCCTTGTTCATTTGATTTTGCCTGTATTTCACCTGACGATACGGCTTGAGCGTATACTACAACTTGTAGTGAAAACTTCCAAGATGTTGTTGAAGAGCTTGAAGTGCGTCCTTCTTCTTTGTATTATTACAAGTAAATATATCGCATTCTTGTCTCCCAGGAAACGGCATAGTGGTTACCGTATATTGACTTTCTCATTCTGCGGGACGCCTCTGGCATTCAGGCCTCAGGGAACAATGCCAGAAATGACCAGCATGACCAATTAAACTTCAAAAAATGACATACAAAGTCACAAAATCACAGGACAAAATAACATCATGATTGTCCTAAGACAGCGGAGAGCCTATGAGAACACATCTGTACACATGCGTTGTGTGTGAAAAAAAGGAATTTCCCTCCCAAGCGTGACAAAGAGAATTTCCCTCCCAAACCGCCTGACAAAGTGAGGATTGCGGAGCTAGAGTGAACTATGAAGTTAATCTGTAGTCAATGAATAATGCATTGTGTTAGCTGCTCTGGCTAACACGATTATCACCCCCCCCCCCCCCCCGGCACTCTCAGAAGACATTGTTTTTAGCTGTATGAGTACATTGTAGCATGAGACGAAGAATAGGACGAGTTTTTTTGTTGCTGTTGTTACAGTTTCATCTCAGGAAAGAAAATTCTAGCGTGCAAGGAAATGCTCAAAATGTCAATGGTGGAAATGGCATGTACTTACGCACAATCATGAATGTAATGCAACAATGATAACAGAGGGCCCTAAAGCAGAACACCAAAATGCACATTCTTTTAACAAGGAGATGTAAAGGAGATGAGTTTAATACTTCAAAGTACATCCGACTGACGGAATGTGGGAGGATACTCCGCAGAATAGCAAGCGTCATTTGTAACTTTCAAACAGTGGTATCCAGTGCAGCTAGGTCCTTGCTAGCGGTGGCAGGGTGCGTGGGCGATCCTGGACTCAGCTGGGTGCCACCGCTACTCATGCTGTTGCCGGCGAGAAAGCCGAACGCTGCAGTGACTTCGGATGATGACGGTGTGAGTAGAGTGACAACGCCATCGCCCGGTGTAAGTAGAGTGATAACACCATCACCCTTCTCAGTAGTAACGTTGTCGTTGCTGCCTTTGGCAGAAGCCACACCATCATCAGAACTGCCCTTGGCAGAATCAACGCCATTATCGCCACTGCT